GCAGTAGCAGTAGCAGCAGCAGTAGCAGCAGTAGCAGTAGCAGCAGCAGTAGTAGCAGCAGCAGCAGTAGTAGTAGTAGCAGCAGCAGTAGTAGTAGCAGCAGCAGCAGCAGTAGTAGTAGCAGCAGCAGCAGTAGTAGTAGTAGCAGCAGCAGCAGTAGTAGTAGCAGCGGTAGTAGCAGCAGTAGTAGCAGCAGCAGCAGCAGCAGTAGTAGTAGTAGTAGCAATTAGCACTCACGTAACCCTTATTATGTTCTAGGCCCTGTTCTAAGCACTCTGCCTATATTAATTCATTTAATTCTCAAAATGACTCTCTGAGGTAGGTGCTTTATCATGTCCAAGATGCATATTTTTCACATTTTACTATCTCTGAAATCTGAATATGTCTTCAATAGATGGCATTTTGGATTAATGAAGTGTGGTGTTATTCTTCCCATTTTATAGATGAGGAAACTGAGGCCCAGAGAAGTTAAGTAATTTGCCCAGTTTACCCAGCTAGTGACAAAGCCAGGTTCTAACCCCAAGTGGTATGGCTGTGAAGTCTGCACCCTTAATAACCATGTTCTACTGCCTGTGTTTGTACCTCTGGGGTGTATCGAGATGTGTATTGACTTCAAAACTCCATCGACCTTTCTCAGTTTTGATTCACCAGCATTAGCACAGTGCTCTGGATCTAGTAAATCTGAGGCCTGCACACGGTTTTGATTACCACACCATCAGTAAAGCCCTTTGAACTAATATATGTATGCGTATATGTATGTAGCATAATATATACGTATATTTATATGTATATTGTTGTTGTTAGGTGCCATCGAGTCAATTTCCGACTCCTAGACACCCCATGTAACAGAAGAGAACCGCCCCATAGGGTTTTCTTGGCTGTAGTTTTTAGGGGAGTAGATCACCAGGTCTTTCTCCCGTAGAGTGTCTGGGTGAATTTGAACAGCCAACTTTTCGGTTAGCGGCCAAGCACTTAACCATTGCGCCACCAGGGCTCCTTATATGTATATATAAGTTATAAAGAATATATTTTTACTAATATATAGGTTGTATCATATGAAACTGCCATTTTTGAAGGTCAAAAGAAGTTGAATATCACCAATTTCACATAGTTCGACCTACTACATTGCATACTCTAAAAATACGCAAAAATAGGAATTTTAAAAGGGCAAGAGAAAATGTTAATAACCAACACTTGCAGTGTCTTCCTAATTGCAGTGCTTCACTATCTTTAGCTAATATTTCAAGGCAGCATATATTTTAGGGGGAAATTCGTCATTAACGAAGGGGATGGTCTTGATAATTTTGAGGGTTTTTAGCCAACGCCTTGTCAAGTCCAGTTAGATACTCACTGTTTTTACCTCATCAAGTGATTGATACAAAGGGTCACTTCTGCCATTTCTTTTTGGTTTATGCTTGAGTTATTAGTATTATGTTCAATCCTCAGTTTCTTTGTAGGAAACTCTTTAATTCAATGTTCATTTTGTAAGAAGGTCAGTTTATCTAGAATTAGCTAAGGGAATCTAAAAAAAAAAAACAAAAACAAACTCATTGCCGTCAAGTCGATTCCGACCCAAAGTGACCCTATAGGACACAGTAGAACCGCCCCGTAGGGTTTCCAAGGAGCACCTGGCGGATTCAAACTGCTGACCTTTTGGTGAGCAGCTGAGCTCTTAACCACTAAAATCTACAAGCCCAAGGCGAGTCACTGTTCTCCCTTTGGTATTCTAAAACTCTCCCTTTCCCCTAAGATGCTCATGAGGCCCACAAAGTGAGGCCTGATGTCAATCAGCAAAGCTTATTAAAGCTTAAATCCTTTCTTAATTGTTGAGATAAAAATACATGTAAATGGAAGTTCTGATATTTTCTCCCTACTTCTCAATGCACGTACCCCACTTTGGAGATTAAGGTAGTATAAACGTAATTCATATGGCGCAAAAATACCCATTCATTGGCCCCTTAGAGGTGCACCATATAGATACTTGTTCCTAGATATTAAACAACATTCTCCTTTGTTCTTCTTCCAGTAAAAATGATAATAGAAGAGTAAAAAAAGCATTACCATTTACAAGAGATTTAGGCATGAAAATTTAATTACCCAGAAATCAAACTATGTGAATTAAACCCCGTAGACTAATATTATTTCATGAAGTATTTATTTCATGAGTAATGAATGGATTAGTTTTTTTAAAGGATTCTTGAACACGACCGATGCAAGATCGAGGACTCCATTACCCATAAGAATCGTTATTTGTGTGTTTTGAAATCATAATTATGTTGATTTTCAATGCTTCCACTGGTGGTTTCATTGACTTGAGAGCACCAAAACATCACATGGTTATTTCAGTTTTGTTTGATCTTGGTTGCTTTGTATTCAATCTCTGGGTATATCACAAAGCTATGGTTATGTCTTTAGAAAAGGAATGGAAAATTAAGGCTCTAGATGAACTATAATGGAGCCTTGGTGGTGCAGTGGTTAAGAGCTCAATGCTAACCAAAAAGTTTGCTGTTCGAATCCACCAGCTACTCCTTGGAAACCCTGTGGGGCAGTTCTGCTCTGTCCCATAGGGTCGCTATGAGTGGGAATTGACTCAACGGCAACAGGTAACAGATAGGTGGACTGTTACTGGTTACACCAAAGTATCAGGAGTAAAATAAAGATAATGCCAACAGAATAAAAACATGTTAACAATCTTGTAACAATAAACATGAATAAAGATCTTAAGCTGTGTAAACACACTAACCAACCTGCTAGAATAGTCCACAAACTGAGTATCTTCATCCTAAAAAGGTCCCAAACCAATAATCTAAAAGTTATCAGACTTTCTTCCTTGAGTATAATCATTATTTAAATGATTTATTAACATATCCAGCAGAAAGAAGTTTAAAAAATGAGTATTATAATGTGATATCCTGGGTGGGATCCTGGAGCAGAAAAAGGACAGTAGGGAAAACTAGTGAAATCAAAGTGTGGGGTTTAGTTAACAACAACAAAAAAAAAACCCATTGCCGTCGAGTCGATTCCGACTTATAGTGACCCTACAGGACAGAGTAGAACTGCCCCATAAGGTTTCCAAGAAGCAGCCGGGGAATTCAAACTGCTGACCTTTTGGTTAGTGGTGGAGCTCACTAATGTTGGTTTCTTTGTTATGATAAGTGTACCACAATAATGTAAGAGGCTAACAATAGGGGAAACTAAGTAAGAGGTATAGAAAGTCTACTATCTTTGCAACTTTCCTGTAAGTCTAAACCTATTCTGGAGTTAATTTTTTTTTTTTTTTTTTTAAGAAGCATCATCCAAGCAAATGTATCAACTTTTACAAATGATATAGTATGAATTTTCATACCTAATTTCAGATCATGGACTAAAAGTTGGAAAAGAAAATGACACATCAAAATCCAATTTTGTCTTTAATAAAATCTAAGAAAATAGTCCTTGCAAACTGGAAAGGTTCATGTTTATGAAAGCAGCTTTACAACAACAAAAAGAAAGTACCCAGGAATAACTTTAAGAAGAAATGGGTAGGCCCTTTTTAAAAACTATAACACTTGGCTGAGAAATACACAAAGACTTGAATGCATGAAGAGACACATTTTATATATGGATAGAAAGACTACTGGCTTAAAGATGACAATTCTCTTTAAGTTAAGCTGTACGGTTAGTGGGAGCACAATAAAAATACATGATTTGTATAGCAAGATAGCTGTACCTTGAAATCAAAATTTTGTCCAAGTTTGGATAGAAGGATAGAGGCAGGGCTGGCTGGGTTCCCCCTGCTGAGAAAGGTGAACGTCAAGGTTATGGCTGTAAGAGCTAGTCTGGATTAACGCTCTTCCTAATGTAGACAACACCCAGCCACATGTACTAAGCAAAAGCCCTGACTTCTCTTTGTGCATACCTAGCCCCATACCGCAAAATCAACCAAAGAGTTTCCGTGGATCCAGTCACCTCGGAGCATGAGCTGATGTGCCAGGCTGAGGGTTACCCCGAGGCTGAGGTCATCTGGACCAACCGTGACCACCAAGTCCTGACAGGCAAGACCATCATTACCAAGGGGCAGGAGGAGCTTTTCAACGTGACCAGCACACTGAGAATCAACACGACAGCCAAGGAGGTCTTCCGCTGCACTTTCCAGAGAGCAGGTCCCGAGGAGAACAGTACAGCCGAGCTGGTCATCCCAGGTAACGTTCTGAATGTCTGCATTAAAAGGCACTTAGCACTGTACCTTAGCACCGAGCATGATGCCAGTTGATCGTGGCATTCAGTGTTTGCTGAATGAATGAATAACATGATATTTACAAAATGTATCCTGTTTCATCACCTCCCTTCATCCTAGTCATATTGCTGTCTAATAAACATTCAGCAGGCATTCATTGCCAGAGCGCTGGTGGTACAGTGGTTAAGTGCTAGGCTGCTAACCAAAAGGTTGGCAGTTAGAACCCACTAGCTACTCTGCTGGAGAAAGATGTGGCAGTCTGCTTCTGTAAAGACTGCAGCCTTAGAAACCCTATGGGGCAGTTCTACTCTGTCCTACAGGGTCCCTGTGAGTCAGAATTGACTCCACTGCAGTGGGTTTAAATATTCACTGAGTGTGGCTTACGTACCAGGTACAGTAAAACCTGTGAAAGCCAGAACCCATGCAAGATGGAAACCTGTAAGAGAAGGAAAATTCAGACATTTTCCACTAAAATGAGCGATAGAAGAGTGGTAAGACTCTACCCTGTCAGAGGCAAAAAACTTGGAGACCCGGAAACGCAAGTTCATCTGGTCGAATTCTAGCTCTCCCCGGTTTCTTTGTATTATGTTAGGCACTGCGGGCTCAGAGAAGAATAAGACATAGTTGACACCCTCCAGGAAACAGAAAAGAAAACAGCCCATCCCAGTCCCATGTCGGAAGTGCCCTTGGAGCTGAAGGAGCACGTCACAGGAATGCTCCACTCCAGTCAGAGTTGAGGCATCCAAATCCCTGTCCGTCAGAGCTGCTGCTCTCTCTCCAGGGCTTCGATACCAGGAAGTAAACAGAATGTACTTTTCTGCCTTGTTTCAAACAGGAGAGATCCTTTCTCCCCATTGCCTTCCCCAGGCAGCCTGTGATTTTCCAACTCAAGTCAGTCTGCTTAGTGGCTGGCTTCCAAGGCTGTGTCCCTGGGCAGGTTACCAGACTTCTGTGTGCTTCCTTCCCCTGTAGGGCCATTATTACCTATTGGGCGAGGTTCTTGTAGGAGTAAAATGAGCTATAGTGTATGAAGATGGTTTGCGACTGTTGCCTGTACAAATCCAGCTATTTCTTATCTCGCTACCCTACAGAAGTGGGTGGGGAGGGAGAGTGTGATAAGAGATTCAGGGGTTAGAGAGAATGAGGTGGGCGGGGGCCATGTTTCATGGAAACCCAGTGGTGTTCTGAAGAGAAGCACTTCTCGCCAGCCCTCCCCAATAGATGTCGGCGGAAAAGCTCTGGGTACTTCAAAGAAAACAACTAAAAAGTTCGGTAGAAAAGTCAACCAGTAGGAAAAGACAATCAAGGAGATGCCCTTACTGGGATATGAGTCCTCAGGTACCAGACTGGCCTTTGGTAAGAGCTCTATTAGTTTGTTACTGCCATTTAAAAAGAGGTCCCTGGGTAATGCCGATGGTTAACGTGCTCAGCTGCTAACCCAAAGGTTGTGGTTGGAGTCTACCCAGAGGCATCACAGAAGAAAGGCCTGGTGATCTACTTCTGAAAAATCAGCAATTGAAAGCCCTATGGAGCACAGTTCTGCTCTGACACATATGGGGTTACCATGAGTCGGAATCAACTCCATGGCAACTGTTTTTCGTTTGGGTTTTTTTTTATTTTGCCATTTAAAAGCTGTTTTATGGCAATTTACTTGCAGGGCAACCTAGAGTAACTCACTTAACTGCTCTGAGTCTGTTTCCTCATCTGTAAGTTGGGGATTTTTTTAGGGCCCTGGTGGCACAGTGGTTAAGAGCTCAGGCTGCTATCCAAAGGGTTGGCAGTTCAAATCCACCAGCTGCTCCTTGGAGACCCTGTGGGACAGTTCTACTCTGTCCTGTAGGGTCAATATGAGTCGGAATAGACTCGACAGCAGTGGGTTTGGGTTTATGTTGTTGTCAGCTGTCTTTGAGTAGGCCCAACTCATGACAACCCCATGCACATTGAAACAAAATGCTGCCTGGTCCTGTGCCATCCCCATGATCATTTGCAGACGGGACCATTGTGACCCATTGGGCTTTCATTGGCTGATTTTCAGAAGTAGATTGCCAGGCCTTACTTCCTAGTCCATCTTACTCTGGAAGCTCTGCTGAAAACTGTTCAGCATCACAGTAACATATAGGTCTTCACTGACAGATGGGTGGTAGCTGCACATGAGGTGCATCGGCCAGGAATCAAACCTGGGCAAGACTTCTACCACTGAACCACCAGTGTCCCCGCACTAACCCATAAAGTTGTTTTGAGACTCATAAAATATATATGAACAGGCTTCGTATACTGTAAGCTGCTAGACAAAGGCAAGCTGCTATTGTGGCTTTGAACTTGAGCTGGGTGGGTATGGGTCATGGGTTTCAGTTCCCCGTTGAGCCGCAGGAGCTGACTGATGGTGACAGGTGAGAGTTAGCTGTCTTTGAGCCTCCATGAGCCACAGGGTCCCTTTCCTTCCTGCCTGGAGCCCCAGACAGAGAGGCTGGTGAGAGATGCCTATGACTGGATGTCTCAAGATGTCCAAACTGCAGAGAAAGAAAGGATAGCAAGCAAATGTGGGAGGTAGGAGGTTGTTGGTGGCGCCTGGTGGCCTCCAATGTCCCACTGTGGGCAGTCGGCTGCTAGCTTCAATATTAAAGAACACAAATGGAAGTGAAATAATCAAGGGTGCATTTTGTATTGAGCATCCACTCCCTGTGGTCCTCTGCTAAGCACTTTATAAACATTAGCCTCCGAGTAAGTTTATGACCATTTCTGTTTTGTCTGCTCAGAGCGGTTAAGGGACTTGCCCAAGAGTCAAAGATAGCAAGCTCAAAGACCACAGAGCTCTATCCTCAGCCTGTCCGTCCAAAGTCTGTGCTGCTTCCGCTTGTCCATGCTACTCCCATCTCTTACCAGGGCACCTCCTCGTGACAGCACTTGCTGGCCAGGAGCTTTTAGTATTTAAAGTAATTAACCTAAAGCTAAACTAAATTAGATCTCAAGGATGATGACTCCCCTGGGCCCTCCCATCCCAAGTTTATCTTTGTTCCCCTGATCCCTTCCCGTCCCAATTTTACCTTTAGTGCCTTGATCTTTTGCCATCAAAATTTTATCTTTCGTTTCTTTTGTTTTTCAGAACCACCTAACATATCCCCACCAAATAAGAGGACGCACTTGATAATTGTGGGAGCCGTCCTGTTGTTCCTCGGTGTCCTGCTGATGGTCGTCTTCTATCTAAAAAGAAATGGTACTTCATTTATTGCAGTGGTCTGCACTGGGAGCATGTGGAGGTGAACGGGGGAGGTCTTGTGGTCGTCACAATGGCTTTTAGGAGGCAGAGTCAGGGATGCTGAATATCCTGCAGTGTGCAGGGCAGTCGCTCCTAGCAGAGAGCCATCCTACCCAAAATGCCAGCAGGCTTCGCCTGGGAAACACTGATTTATAGTCTTGGTGGTGCTCGGCTGCTAACCAAAAGGTCAGTGGTTCAAACCCAACAGCTGCTCCTCAGGAGAAAAGACTTGTCGATCAGCTCCCATTAAGATTTCAGCCTAGGAAACACTACGGGGCAGTTCTACTTTGTCCTATAGGGTTGCTGTGAGTTGGAATTGACTCGATGGTCCCTAACAACAGCCTTCCTATTAGCCTTGCCTGCCGAGGCCAACTTTCAAGTATGCAGAGTGGATCTTGTCATTCTCCTGTGTGCACTAGTGTGCCACCTCTTCCTCCAGGTCTGCTCTTTCCGCTGTTCTCAGCATCACCTACGCTGAAGGGTGGGCCATGAGCACCTGCAGTAGCATTGCCATGGGGTGCAGGGAAACGTGACTTACCTTTGCAAGGTGGCACAAAGGCACCCCACCATTCAACAGCAATTACAATGGAGCTGAGTGGGATTGCTGGAGGAGGAGCAGGTGTACAGGGGTGAGAGGAGGAGAATGGGTGTGCATGGAGGTGAAGTCAACCCAATATCATAGCTTCTCTTCATCACGCAAGTAGCCTTAGACTTATGGAAGAGAAAGAGCTGAAATGCCTGTCAGTTTCAGTTCACTTTGAGTAATGCATGAGTTGCAACATTATATTGAGCTGGTTTCTGGACACCCTAAGTAATAAAAATAGTTCCTTCTATAGAGCTGTGATATTTTTACCGTAAGAATATTTTGCAAGACTTTTGGTGGAGGGTGTTAAATATTTTTGAAAATAATTTACATGCGTTTATTTCTCTACTTCCACATGGGAACAGTTAAAATCGAGGAAAATGAGTTTATTCAAATCATTTCTCCCATTTTAAGATGATTCAGAGTAAACATTTCCCCTAATACTTTCAGAAATGTACCAAGGGTACGTGATGACCTGTGTATAGACAACTGATGTCGAATAGGGAATTAGAGAATGGAAGGGAATTCCAGTAGTTGTTGAGAAGTTCCCCACAGCACCCTGAGAGAGGGTGGATTTGGGAAAGTGGTGGCGTAACTGAGCTGGTTCTAAAGAACAGGTTCTGAACAGAACGGGGCATTTGGCCAGAATATAAGGATCAAGTTAAAATGACAGTAAGATCCTGAGGCGGAGTTGACTTGTAAAAGGAAATAATTGTTGCCAACTTGCATTTTGAATATTTCTCTGTGAACAATAATTAGTTGACATTAAGAATGAGTAGAAAACTTCAGAATATAGTTCATCTCTGAGGGAAGGATGGAAAATAGAAGTATATATAGGTAGTCCCCAACTTATGTCCGGGTTCTGTTCCGATGACTTTGTCATAAGTTGGTTCTGATGTTAAATCGAATACCTCTTTTTTTTTAGTTTTCATTATTATTGCCTTTTATTATCTTTTTATCTTTTAGTATCTTTATAAATGCAATCTTTATTTGTTTTGGGGGATTGGAAGTATTACATATAAATTTAAGGATACAATAACATAGCAAATTACATGCTGCAACATTGTAGTACATATTACTAACTCATAAGATATATCAAAAAAAAAAAAAAAGGATGGCTGTAAGTACTCAAATACATCATAAGTAGGGGACTACCTGTACTCTGAAAGAAAATCTAGGAGCACAATCATGTGCCTCACGCTGTTGAAGTAACCTCAGAGGTTGGGACCCACGGAGTAAGGAAGTCCACCAGACTTCCTAGGAGATGAAAAACGTTTTATAGGAATCTGAAATTTAAACTTGAGTCACTGTGTGGGATGTAGAGTTGTGCTACATAGAAATTAAAATTATTTCTTTTCCTCAAGGGAGAATGATGGATGTGGAAAAAGGTGGCATCCAAGACATGAACTCAAAGCAGCAAAATGGTAAGCATAGCAGAAGGGATCAGGCAGTTGAAGGAAAGGAAACAAAAAGTTAAAGCAACAAACCAGGAGAAATCTATCAGCCATAATCTTCTCTCCTAGTAAAGAATGCTGGTGTGGGAATGGCTGATTCCTCTTGGCCTCACAGCTCTGACTTAAGACTCCTCCCAGAGCCTGAGGAGATTCAGGGAGAGCCCTCAGAGTGAGCTTTCGGGTAGTGAGCAGTTGTGTGCGGGAGTGAGGACAGGGGAGAGAGGAGGTGGCCTCTCCCAGCTAAGCTTGCATTGCTCTGCATCTCAATCTCTCCCTGCAGCAGGGAACTAAGTTGACTTCCATGGCTGGAAAATGAATGAATGAAGGAATGAATGACAGATAGTAGTTGTGTGTCAGGTAATGTGTTAGCTGCTTCATGTACATTATTTCATTTAATTCAAGAGATAAATACGAGAATTATCTCCATTTTATAGTTGAGGAAACAGCAGGTCAAAATAATGATGAAAGTCGTCACAGACATACAACTGGTAAATGATGGAAGCCAGGCTTTGGGAGCCCCCTAGCCCGACTGTGGAACCTTACTGAGAACCCATGTGCTTAAACGCTTTTGCCACAAATGTCTGTATTTATAAAGGGTCAGAAGAACCTCACCTAGCTGACTGAACCAAGAAGAAAGTTATATTAAGATTTTTTAAGTTTTGGAGATGAAGTTTTGAAACCAAAAGCTTAACAGTGAGCTCCAGTTTAAAGGAGTCTGATTAACTTGGGGTGCCCTGGTGACATAGTGGTTAAGAGCTTGACTGCTAACCAAAAAGTCAGCAATTCGAATCCACCAGCTGCTCCTTGGAAACTCTATGGGGCTATTCTACTCTGTCCTGTAGGGTCGCTATGAGTCAGAATCGCCTCAGCAATGGGTTTAATTAACTTGGACGAGCTCAGGCGGGTTTTCGTTATGTAGTTCATAGTACTCATTTGTGTTGTAAAGCTAATTAGCAAATGTTGCCTGGCTCATCCGTTGTTGTTGTCACAATGGCATTTAGTAGGCAAGGTCAGAGATGGTGTCCAACCATCCCAGTCTGCTTGGGACTGGAGGCTTCCCAAGATGCAGGACTTCGAGTTCTAAAAGCAGGACAGCCGGGAATACGAGGACAGTTGGTCCTTCAGTATCATGTAATAGTCTGCCTCTTTCCCTTATTGCAAGCTTATTATATCGTCTACAAAATGTGAATTATGCTTCTCTTTAGATTTGTTGTTGTTGTTAGTTCTTCCTCAGACTGCCCTCCCATGAAATTAATATACATATTTCTGTCACTCTCCAGACTCTAAATTTGAGGAGACGTAGCCCAGCCTTGAAACTTCTCATCTTAAAGCAGGGATTCTCCGCCTGTGGTTTGGGAGCTCGTCTGTGTTCATCATGACTAGGAATGGATGGGCCGGCAGATGCAGATGGCATAGGACTTGGAAGGCCCACACACTGCAAATGGAATGTGGGGAGAGAGGAGGAGAACAGAGAAAGATGGAAGATGAGGGGTAGCCTGGAAGGAAAGCATGTTACTTCAGAAAGACTGGGAGACCCATCTGCGCAGGCGCCAGGGAGAAAGGACACTTCTGAGTGCTGAGCCTCTGTCATTCACCACAGGAGAATGGACTGAAGATCCTTGATTTAATGGTCAATTCCTGCCAAAGCTCCCTTGGTCTCCATGCGACACCTTGAACTGTCTTCTTTGTGACTGAGAGTCCCAGTGGTACAGCAGTATTTATGTATGAATGTTTACTATTTATTTTGAGTCTGTGGGGTCTTCTTGTTCTATGAGTGTGGTTGTGAATGATTGCTTTTGAAGTTACATTGAGGTAGATGTTAAAATTTTGTGACCAAACTAAACTTGCTACTTAGTGAATTGTTCCCATCCAGTAAAACGTATAGTGATTGGAAGGTGCTTGGTATCCTATAGAACTGATGGTACGAATGGAAGCACAGGGAACAAACCATTGACCTGTATAGGACCTTACCTTACTTTACCCATTGATGCTTCATTGACTTGAATAACCTTAGTCTCAGAGCTCAAGTGTCTGTTGCACTGTCCCTTTCCGATATTAGCTTTACAACTATGTGGCACTCTACAGACACAACATATCTCATTTAGTCACTATAACAACTCTCCTATGGTAAGCACTGGTATTATACCCACTTTACAGCTGAGGAAGCAGAGACGGAAAGTAATTTTCCCAAGCCTCAAACTTACATAGCTGTCATGCCCTGTTCTTTTAGAATATAATCTGCAGCTGGAGTTTACCTTGAGCAATTCATTTCTTGGACAACCATTTACCACGTGCCCGTACATGGCACTCACAGCGCCAGGTGTTGAGTCCACAGAGCTGAGAAGACGAAGTACCTGCCCTCCAGGAGCGCATAGCCTAGTGGGGAGAGAGACAAGAATATTTATTATGATGAGTTAGTACATGGCATGGCATGAGGTGTTGGGGGAGAATAGTGGTGTGAGGGCAAAAGGCTAGAGGAACGGAGAGAGAAGGGGACGGACACCACTTCCGGTGGCAGTCAGTGTGCACCTGGACAGATGAATATACATAAAAATTTTAATAATCAAAGCACTTTTCATTTATAAGGAGAGGACTGTGGGCAATAACTCGAGTTCTTTTTGTATCATTCTATTTATTCCTATTTATTTGCCTTCATCATACAATCTGATGCTTATTTATATGGTGTCTAGTATTATTTAGCCATTCTTTCTTTTTTATCTAAATGCTGTTGGATTTTGAATCCATAAATTCCAAAAGTCCAGTAAGATACTATGAAAAATCTCCATTCCATCCAGTTTTCCTTTCCTGAGGCATCCACCATGGCCTATTTCTGATGGATTCTTCTGAAAATATTCCACAAATGTATATAAAAATGTATGTGTATGTATTTTCTTTGTCCTCATCTCACATAGGTGGTAACGTATTCGGCACCTGCCATGCACTTTGCTTTTTTATTTAATGTACTAGGTTGAATGTAGCAGCCAGATCCAAATTTGAAGCTTCCCGAAGTCAGGGACTGTGTCCTGTTTGTTTTTAGATCACCTTTTCCACAGCTTCTCTAGTATCTTCCATGATGCTTAGTACATGCTAAGTATATACAACATACACATTTGGACAACCCGCATGTACTTGCTCTGTGACTGCGTTGGGATTTGGTGTATGTTGCATTTGCTCAAAGTGAGAGCGTGGGTCCTCCTGGGTCCACTGGGCCAACCTAGTCCTTAGGGGTGATCTTATTATTAACCCTGTATGATGGAGCTGGAGTCCCTGGGTAGTGTAAACGGTGAACACAGCTGCTAACCAAAAGGTTGGAAGTTTGAGTTCACCCAGAGGCACTTTGGAAGGAAGGCCTGGCAGTCTACTTTCGGGAGATCAGCCACTGAAAACCCTATGGAGCACAGTTCCATTCTGACACACATGGGGTCCCCATGAGATGGTGTTTTTGGTTTTATGATGGAATCATGATCGGAACGTTTTCTCCCCCAAATGATTTGTTTTGTTTTGTATAATCTTGAACTTTGATGCTGCGCTTGCAGAACTACACATCCTTTTTAGAAACACCAGCAGAGTACCTTGGCAGCTGCCTGCCCTAGACCCTCACCTGGGTTAGAAAAGGCACATTAGTCAGCCTGAACCCTTGAGTTCTGCCAGCTCTCGTCACTGCCCAGGCCTCCTGGGATTCAGACGCCCCCTCAGGAGGCCTCGGAGTCTTCCTTTCAACTCCACGGTTTCCCTAGATCAATATCACTTTGCCCACATGAAGGCTGAAGAAACAGACCCCAACAGAAGTCCTTCTGTTGTCTTTTTGCACATGTTCATTTGTACAACGTTCCTTGTTTGTGTATAGGGCAAGCAAGGATTCTGACTGAGCCAGGCATACAGTCTACTCACTGCATTTCAGAGTCTTAACGCCTCTTCTCTGGTGTTGGATTTGTAAGGAACTTTTCTCTTTTTGTCTGGTATTTCGTTGTAAGCACCCCAGGCAGAGACGTCACCCAGTTCTGTATTTGGCTGTCACTGTTTACATCTGCATTAACTTAATAAAATTTTCTTTATTTATTTTGTTCTTCAATGCATACCAGCATGTCCATTTTCTTGTTTTCTATATGTTTATAAAACCACTCACAGTTTAATATCTCCATGGGGATAGTTACTTGGCATAACTGCAGTAACCTCTGCAGTTCAATTTTTTCATACTCTGTGTTTATTTGGAGCCCCTGGGTGGTGCACACGGTAAATGTGCTTGGCTACTACCTGAAAGGTCGAAGGTTCAAGTCCACCCAGAAGCACCTTGGAAGAAAGGCCTGGCAATCTATTTCCAAAAAATCAGCCATGGAAAAGCCTATGGAGCACAGGGCTGCTCCGACCCACGTGGGGTGTCCGTGAGTCTGAGTCGACTCGACGGTGACTGATGATGGTAGTGGTGTTCATACAGCATGCTCTTGGATCCTGAGACATGGGGAATAGCCAAAGAATTTGTATTAAAGAAAAAGAATTTTTGAAAAATTTCATTCTCTCTCACTCAGTAGCTTCTTTTAGGACCATACCAAGAAAAGAGTCAAAGTTCTGTGATCCAAATTGAAGATCTGCAGGAGACAAGGTGGGGAGAGGAGTGGTCAGCAGGAGACGTACGGAAATGAAGGGACTTTCCTCTGAGGCCGTCAACAGATAAGTAAACAGGGAGATGCAAACCAATGCATACAAAGCTGGATCTATTTCAGTCTGCAGGTTCTGAAGGGAAGTGAGAAATGTAGAACTAAGGCAGGCTGGGGATTAAGGCTGAGTACCGGTTGGAGTCTTAAGAACATAGGTGGTTTTAAACAAACATGACAGTACTTATCCATTCAAGGGAGTGTAGACCTGTTACTGCATCACCCAGCTTAATGACAGAGTCATCAGGCTCAGTTTAAAGAGACTTTGTGCGTGTGTGTGTACAGTAAAAATATACATATAACAAAACATTTGCCAATTCAACAATTTTTACATGTACAGTCTAGTGACATTACGTTCACCATGTTGTGCAACCATCACCACAATCCATTGTTTCCAAATGATTCCACCACCATTAGCAGAAACTCTGTGCCCCCAAAGCAATGACTGTCTTTTCCCACTGCTTCACACCCTGGCAATCACTAATAAACTCTGATCTCTATAGATTTGCCCGTTTCGTATACATGGAATCATACATTTGTCCTTTCTTGACTGACTTATTTAACTGAGCATGAGGCTTCTAAGGTTCATCCATGTTGTAGCGTGTATCCAGACATCATTTCTTAGAGACTTTTGATCATTTCTCTGAATCGAATACTGTCAAAGGATGGTGATGACAATTTCTAAAAATCTGTGTCAGATTCTAGACGTTTTTAAAGGAAGAGTATCAGTATCTTTGGAGTAATGATGATGATGATGATGACCCTATAATACTCACTGAGCCCTGAGTTTGGACTGCATCCCAGTGCCTACATTCTTAGGGATGAAAAACCTCACAACGTAAATGGATTTACCAGAAAGACTGGGGCATAGCTCAGTGTATCAATCTGATTATCTGATTTTTCTCTGTGTATTCCCCTCCACCTCTACTCTTTCTTTTTAGCCTAAGGACCATTTTCCCTCCCCCTCTCCGACCCCCAGACATAGAAAGTATCGTTTTAATATGTAATTCTACTTCTATTTCCCACAATTCCATTGTAATCATCTCAGTGGGTCCCAGTTACTCAATAGGCATCTTCTGCAGGCAGCCATCCTACTGGGCTTTGGGGAGAAGTCAAAGAAATAGTGAATGTGGTCCACGCCCTCACGGAGCTTACAGTCTAACTGAGAAGCCAATACATAAATTGGTGAAAAATTAATTCAAGTGTTAGAGAACGTAAGACTACCAGAAAGTGTCTCAACAATGAGAAGAGAAGACAGCAAGTGCTGTGAAGTAGAGGTAGGAGAGAATCCTGGGAACTGAGAAGCCTTCACAAAGGAGGCCAGACTCAACTCTGGAGAATGGGGATGATGCCACCACTGATGGTGTCTCGTGTGGAAAGCAGCTTCCTGTTTTTATGTAAAGGATAAATCTAACAAAGAAAATCTGTGATCCCTTACATTGCTGGTGGGAATATAAACTGGTAAAACCTCTGGGGAGAGCCATTTGTTAGTGTTTATCAAAGTTACTCACCACCAGTCTGTCACTTTGTTGTACCATGGTGGCTTTTATGTTGCTGTGATGCTGGAAGCTATGCCATCAGAATTTCAAATACCAGCGCAGCGTCACCCATGGTCGACAGGTTTCAGTGGAGCTTGCAGACTAAGACAGACTAGAAAGAAAGGCCTGGCAATCTAATTCCAAAAATTAGCCAGTGAAGACCCTGTGAATCACAACAGAATATTGTCCGATATAGTGCTGGAAGATGAGCCCTCAGGATCGAAAAGCACTCAAAATACAGAGTGGCCACAAAAATGGACTCTAGCAAACCATGAAGACTGCAGTGGACCGGGCACCATTTCAT